CAGCCTCAGATGCAGTTAGGCATCTTTCCAGCAAATTTGTTGATGTGGTAAACGATAACCGATTCGAATGTCAATGCAAAATCCATATATTTTTGCCAGCATGGCCTGAAGATGATCCGAGTCAAATTTGGTGAAAATTGGAGCGATGGTCTAGGAGGAGTTCGAAAAAGTAGGTTTTCAACATAAATCAAAATGGCGGACAGGAAGTTCGGCTGACTCTGGCAAAATTGGTATCGATGTTCTCAGCATGACCCAAGGAATATATCGCGATCACTTTCATTACAATAGGCCAATTTAATCTAATGTTATTAGCATTTTTGTATATTTCTTTATAACTTTTGGCCACAAGGTGGCGCTGCCCCCAAAGTTTTTGAGTACTGTCAGAGCATGGTGCTGAAGACACATACCGAGTTTCATAATGATACAACAAAATTTATTTAGACAAAATTGAGAATGGCCAACTCCCAAAATGGCTGACAGTGAACAATTGGGCATGGTTTGACTCGGCATGCTCCACCAAAACTAAAGAGACTAGTTTTGTGATTTTTGGCCAAAATATTCAAAAGTTATAAGATAAAAAATAACCATTTGTTCATATCTCCTGACCACTAGGTGGCGCTGCTCTGAAACTGTGCAGGTAGCCTCAGGTCATGCTTGTTATAACACACACTATGGGTGCATCCGAAATCACATACTGCTGGTACTACATTTGAATTTGAACGTACTACTCGACTGTTAAAAAAGTATGTTCTATATAGTATGAATGCGAGTAGTATGAATGGAATTCGGACGTACTACATCCGCCATGTTGATGTTGTCACGTGACATGCGTCTTCACAACAGCGCCAAAATTTAAAGAGCCCTCACTACTGCGCGAACATCAGCAATGTTTCACGTAATTCTTACCGCTTTCATCTGCGTTTTTAACGTTGATTGGATCAACAGCTCAGAGGAGGCGTCGGTCAACTGCTCGCAGATCACGCCTTCGTCGACAGCTTGTAAATCATTTATCAAATAAGGTAAGTACAATCACCTATTTAGCTAGCAAATTTTACACTTGAAAAGAGCCGCGTCGCCGCCTTCCGCCATTTTCGAATATGACGCCTCCTCTCCCGTGGCCTCATGGGATAGTAAAGTGTCCATCGTATGCATGCTACGGAATTCGGGCGGAAGTAGTAGGTCATCCGGGTACTTCTCGCCTACTGTTTTTCGAATACTATGAATTCGGACATACTACTCGCCTCGCATACTGTTTTTCACCTACTATATAGTATGGAAGTATGCGATTTCGGACGCAGCTTAAGTTTGGTCTCAATAGCCAGACTGTTGCGGAGATATACCCCTTGTCCAAATACCCACACTTGCGGTCTTGGCCACTTGAGAGCGCGTGCGTGCGACAGGAAGTAAGTGCGCAAGACTGTCCCAGGTCTTAAAAATACCAAAGCGTAGTGCCCTTAACGCACACTAAACCCACACTCCGGAGCGGTATTCGAGGGTTACCCCTTGTCCAAATACCCACACTGACTCACGGTTTGACTAATCAATTTTCTTTCCACAACTTTTTGCCAGCATGGAAGATGATCTAGGACAAGTTTCAAAAAGTAGGTTCTTCAAACTATTAAAAATAGCGAGAAAAAAAAACTAGACCTTACGATTTTTTTGATTTTGGTGTTCATTCGACTCGTCATGAGCCAAGTATTCAGAGGGGGGAAAAAAATATTTTAGACCTTATGGGTCAAAAGTTATTAGCATAAACATGAGTGAAACTTTGGACAAGTGGTGGCGCTAAAGAGTTTGAGATAGAGACACCAAATTTGCTGTGGTTAATGTTGAGACTGTGCTCTATCTGTGTGCCAACATTTCAGAACTTTCCCGCAAGCGGTTCTATAGGCTGCCATAGACTCAAGAGAGGAAGAAACGGAAGAAGAAGGAGAGGTGGAGATAGAGACCAGAGATTATTATAGAGGCTTTTTGGATTCTAAATTTTTATTCCCTAAACGCATGAATGAAGAATTTGAACTTTACTGACTTTTTTTAATGTGTGTCTGTTTGCATTATTTGTATCATTTGTGTATTTATAATATTTGTCCTTATCTTGAATATTTGTAATGGTTTTGTACATTTGCCACACTTTTTTGAGTCCCACTTGCTAATTGAATCCAGCTGATTATCTCTATTTAGTAATCCAGAAACAGGGTTAATGGTAGCTGTAACGTGAGATCTGAAGAAAGCAACCTGTTGTTTGCTCATGTTGGTCTAGTTTTTAATTCACTTACATTGTGCACATTTTTGCAGCGTTTAGTTTATGTAATCAAATATATTTTTACTAGAGCTTCACCGGTCTGGATTTAATTATTTGACTAGCAATCAATTGTTTTTATAAAAATAATACATTAATATGATTTTTTAAAAAATGCCAGTTTTTGTACAGCTAAAATAACTGGAATTGGATAACATCAGAAGCCTTGAGCATTTAGGTTATAAACAGTCGTAAAATAAGAAAAATACGTTTTTAGACTGAATTTTAGAGCCCAGTTATTGGCTTCATTTGAGGTTTGAATGTGTGTTTGTATGACTCGGGTACATCCGCTGACGGGAGGGGTTCTGGGACACGCTGGGGAGCGATGAGGAGATGAAGAAAGAGGAGCGCGCCAGCACCTTTGACATGCAAATCTCAGACCTCAGAACTGAAGAAGCGAGGACAACAGGTGTCCCTCCACACGGCCACAGTAGCCTCTTTCACCTCTCCTCATCCCTCATTCCATCTCCGCCGTCCCTCCGGACCCTGCATGACTCGCTAATGGCAGCCGCAAAGAATCAGTCAACACAGAATCTGAGTATCAAATTTACTTTATCATGAAAACCTTTTTTTTTTTTTTGTCAGTGGTTTTTGCTCAAATGTTCATTTGCATACAGGAGGACGTAACAATTTGAGTGTGAATAGAAAAGTCTGCAGGGAAATAAAATCTAAAGTAACTTCATTCCTTATCAAAGTCGTGACGTTTTGGCACACATTAAAATTAATTCAAATGAATTCAAATCTAGAATTCTCCCAAATTGCACTGCAACGTTCTTTCGTAAAGTAAATCTTTGAACCACTCCAGTTAAACCATAAAATGATATTATAATATTGATCAAATTAAGATTTTTTTATTTCTATAATAGCTTTATTACAGCATTTTTTGGGATTAAATATTTACAAATATACCTTCTCAACCTTAAAGGGGTCATATGATGCGATTTCAATTGTTCCTTTCTCTTTGGAGTGTTACAAGCTCTTGGTGCCGTCACATGTGGTTGCCGCAAGCCCACTAGCCGTTCTCAAGCCCGCCGGCCGTTCTTCACTCTAGCCTGCCGTGTGTGACGCTGTGTTTCGTTGTGAAAGCGAAACTACTTTGTACAAAAGGTCAGAGGAATGTGCCCTACAGCATCCCTTCAGTTTTAGTAAATCAAGACGGAAATGTGCAAAACAATCTCTTGGTCAAGAATTTGGCAGTCATGTAGCTCACTGTCCAGCACACATAAACACGACACTCAAGATCACACTGTAAATCATGACAAGAACTGAAACATATGGAATATACAGAGAATCTGTCATGACAGAGGAGCAAACCTGCTCTGAACAGAGACCTCTTATAAATATTTTTCCCAAAAGGACTGATTCCAATTGACTTTTTATACGTTAATTTTGGCACTCAGAAAAACAGGTTTATATATTTAATGTTTTTAATTACGTCAGAGAGCACGAAGCTTGAAATTAAGATCTGACAGAACAGAAATGTTTGGTCTCGTGATATAATGCAGAACTCTGGGATTCATCTCAGCGCCTTCTAGTGCTCAAGAAGGTGAAATGCAATTGAATCTGGGATTTAAAAATAGCTCAATAGAGCCCCTTAGTGGTCAAGACCAGGACTGAATTCATCTTGTAAAAAATATTTGCTGCAAGTCAGATGAAAAATCATCTTGATGGTAATAAGTAGTTAAAGGAACAGTTCAGCCAGTTATTTACTTTCTCTCATTTTTCTGAAGAATATTAATATTAATAAAAGTTAAGGAAACACCATAAAAGCTGTCTATATGAGCATGTGATGTCATATAAATACTTCAATTGCAATTTAATGCTTTTTGGAGATTGACAGACGAGTCTCTATGGAAATGTGCAGTGGAAAGATTCTTCAAAATTGCTGCGTTTTGGTTATGCTAAAAATAACAAAGGTTTTCACTCAAAATTATTCACTCAAAAAAAATGTAGGCATACAATATGTATTTTAAATGCATATATAACTTCCATCCATTTGGATTACATGGTCTCATCATAAACTAACTTAATGTGATTCATATTGTCAGTCATGCAATAATCAAGCTTAAATGAAACGGGTCAGATTTCTGCACTCCAAAAAAATCATCATAGTTTTTTTATTTAAATAATTGTATTCAAAGTGCACTGATTCAATATTTCATATAGAAATATTTAATATTGAATAATTCACTGATTGCTTAGAATCAGCATAAATCTGGTCATTGTGAAAACTGATGCAGTTAAAAAGTATGAACAGTTAAAATTTGCCTTGCTGTGAAACAAGCGATATTTGTTAAAAGTTAAGTTAAAAAGCTATTAGTTAAAATGTATGAGATCAAAGAAATTACATTTATATTAGTGCTGTCAAACGATTAATCGCATCCAAAATAAGTTTTTGTTTACATAATATATGTATACTGTTTATTTATTATGTATATATAAATACACACATACAGTATATATTTTGAAAATATTTACATGTATATACATTTATATTATATATAAATATATTTAATATATAAACATAACATTTTTCAAATATTTTCAAAATATATACTGTATGTGTGTATTTATATATACATAATAAATACACAGTACACATATATTATGTAAACAAAAACTTTTACGATTAATCATTTGACAGCACTAATTTTTATATATACATAAACTAGTTACTGTGTATTTAAACATTCAATTTAATACTTTTACAGTAATCTGACCGTTTCATTTATGTATGACTGACAAATATGCATTACACTAAGGCTATTATTTGGTTCGTTTTAAAACTGTGCAATCTAAATGGATGGAAATTTTAAAAGCAACATCTTAAATTTAGTCCTAAATACTTTTTCATTATTTTAATTTAAAATACAAAAACAGTCATATGTAGTCTCCTGAGGCAGATGGAGGAAATGTCCTCTGCACTCGCTCACATCTGCATCCAGCACAGCTCTTTAACGCTTCATTTGGAGATCTGAGAGTTGGTTTTAGCTATTCGTCCTTAATTTCATTTCCAAACATGCACATACACATATACATGTAACCATGTAAACAGTTAAAAACCTCATGATGTAGTTTCACCCAAGGTCTCCTATGTGATTGTGACTCCCATAAGTATGTTTTGGTCCAGTGGTGTCATGTGATCTCCCCTTTGATGCCAAGTCCTGAGAGAGGGAAGGCAGATGTTTCAGCACAGAAAACATTCAGCGGTCAGCACTGGTGTCCCTCTTCCAGCGCTTTACAGGTAGGTGTCATGTTCGGCGCTACTGAGACTCTGATTAGAGCCCTGCGGGGGCGTGTCTTTCTGCAGGTGCTGTGATTCGCTGGGCGAGAGGATGTCGCTCGGTAATGGTGGGTCGCTGGGTAGCGGGTACGGATTAGGAGGTGGCGAGGTGTTTTTCGTGTCTTTTACCTTCTCCGTTTTTGTCTTTTTAGTCTTTTCCCCTTTCTCCGTCGTGCTCTCGGTGGTCTGTGGTACTTCGACAATGATTGTGGGGTTCTGTTTGAGGTCCTGGCGACTGGGCGGCTCAGCGGCCATAATGGCTTTGGCGCCGTGCATTCTGGGAGGGGATTTACAGTGCAGCTCTCCATGGGTCTCCTTCCAGCGTCGGAGCTGCGAGAGATGCTCCTTCTCTATGTCACGCTCAGACACGGCCAGTTCAATGACCTGAAATGGTGGGGATATATGGTTTTTAAAGGTCAGTAACAATAATAAACCTGTACAAAGTATATTTAATTAACTTCAAGTGAGGATTATTACATGGCAAATCAAATTGTACTGATTAAGGCATGCATTTGCCAAAAGTAACCAGTAGGGGGAGACACAGGCTATGCTTGCTACTGCTGACTACATACTGCACAGTATATAATGTATGCTGCCTACTATTTATACTGATAAGCATGTGAAATAGTATGAAATAAACAACTGCAGTGGTGGTAGTAGTGCTACATTATTATTCAGTGTGTAGCATTTTTCAGGAAATAAATACGGATGTGTTTCATTATTAATCCATGTTTAAAAATGGTTTGAATTGAAATTGAAGTACAGCACGTAAGTGTATGTGTGGACGATACCTCTTGCACTAGGAAAGCCTCCTGCATGTATCGTGGCTCAATTGACCTGAGCAGCTCCATGGTCTCATACTGGCCCTGACACGCTTTCAGTTTCTCCTGAGATCCCAGCATGCACTTCAGCAGCACCAGGCCCACACGGAAGATGATCTTCACTCCTGCAACGCACACAGACATGCATGTCCATCAAACAAAGTTAAGGTGTATCTAAGTTAGAAATGTTTGCACTACTTATATATCAGTAAGTTTCATAATTGATTGGCAATACTGCAAAACATATGTATGCTAATTTTTACTTACAAAAATAAAAAAATGGAAGGCAAGAATAGAAAAGTATTTGTATTTTTTTTTTCTTAATTTAACACATTAAAATTTTCTTAATTTTTTATGTAATTTTCAATAAGTAATTTAATACATAAATATTCATTGAATTTGCTTAATTTATCATTCATCACTGTTAAAAATAAATGTATATATATATACATACATACATACATACGTGTATATATATATATATATAATAAAATGTAAAAAAAAAGTAAGTATGTTTGACTTGCAGTACATGTGAAATTAAAACAAAGCAAAGCCAAAAATAAAGTAAAATAAACATCTTTACCAGGTGATCTTGATGTCCAAAAGCAAGTATATTTATTTAAGTACATTTATTAAAAAAAAAATAAAAAAAAAGGGAACAAAAGGAGTATTGGTATTTTTCCTTAATTTAACACTTCTTTATTTATTTTTAAAATTCCCTTAATTTACCATAAACTCTTGAACACTGAATAGGCTTAACTATATGGCAAATAGCGATAATAAAATTATATATGTGACGTTTAAAAAGGAAAGCAACAATACATAAGAAGAAAGAAGCACAAATAAATAAATACACATAAACCCCTGAACTTTACTAGGACATCTTAATGTCCAAAAGTAAGCATGTTAAACATTTACACTTCCACTTAGGCATAAAGTTGTTGCACTCTGCAAGTAAAAGTCACAGGTAGCAAGGTGTGAATCCAGTGAGCTGTACAGTTTTTTCATCTGTGGAGGGGTGAGGTATCAAGAAAGGACAAACTGCAAGCGGTATCTAATTTGCCTTTAGAGTGAGTCTCACCCTCACAGAAGAACATGTCCCACATGCGCAGGACAGACACCCAGGGCAGCGTCCTGGAGAAGGCACACATGAACCATTCGGTCATGTAGAGGATAGGGTCAATCTTGTATTTCTTCAGATGCCGGTGGGCCACCGGGGACACGCGCTTGAGCAGAGCGAACAGGATCTCACCGTCTAACTGAATGGCCTCCTGTGAAGACAGAGATGAGGAGGAAACAAGATGACAAAGTGAAATCTGGGATTTACCACAGTGGATCCATTTCCCTATAACAGCTTTTCATTTGAAAGAGATTCACTAAATGTAAATTATATGTGGTGAATGATTATTTTGCTGATAAGTTCCTATGATCTGACTGACGCTCTTGCATATACAACTTATTTACATTGATGTGATAAACAAATTTTTCACGTTTAAAACCGAAACGGTAAGAGGAAACCCCCCAGGCTGAAGAGAGTGAGAACGAGTGATAGAGACAAAGCAAGATCCTGATGTTGGTTTAATCTAATTCACTTCTTATCTGCCGCCCACTCTGCTCCTGAAGGTCAGACACAAAAGACCTCACATAAAGCTGGGATTGCACTGGATTCCCGGTAATGGAAAACATTATGCACTAAATATATATATATATATATATATATATGAGAGAAAGATTGTTTAGAACAACAGCGGGTTTAGTAATACTTGAGACTGCACTGGTCCATTTGAGAGCGTAATTAGCACCCTAATACACATCCTTATGAAAGCGACAGTTAACCCTGCACACAATAAAATCCTAAAAAATCCTGCTCCACATGACTGGACATTATACATCAAATATGCTGCAATATATTCCATTTTTGTTGTTATTTTACATTGACATTTTTTTGAAATGCTACAAGTGAATTTAAGCATCACAACATCATAATTTACCGTATGAAAAATGGATATTTTCATATTTGCTACATCCATTATAGATGAGATTTTATGTTGTTTAGCATTTTTAAAGATGAATTTTAAGTGAACGTTAGATAACTGTAAAGGTTATTTAAAAGTAAAAAAAAGGGAATTATTATCATAAACAGAAAAAAAACATGCATAATTAAATATATATTATTAGCCGATACAGACAATAGCAACCGATACTGATAAACAAAAATAGTCTGACATGTACCAATACATGGTGCATCGTAAACTACACAGTAAAAACAAAACAAAACTCTAAATGGACTAATATCAAAATTTGTTAATGAGTCAACTGTGTTGACAACTAGTTTAGTTTGATTCTGTACACACTGTGGAGATTCATGGGTATCAATCAAGTTCAAGTTCAAGTTCAGTTTTATTTCTAGAGCACACTTAAGCACGAAACAAGGCCGACCAAAGTGCTGCACAACATACAATAATAGATTTCAGAATCGTGCAATAAAATAGTCTGCGATTTTTTTTGCGTAACTTGTCAGTGAACTACGGCTCTGTGTGGTAAATTCTGCTCCATCTGAAAGCACGTGAAAATACCACATTTAATAACATG